AATCAGCATCTTCATTTTAAATTATTCTCAAGCTTCCGTTGTCTCAACCTCTTAGATTTCTGTGCCACTTACTGGCTGGGATTGTCATAATTAATGTCACACTCTATCCCTATTACCGTCGCTCTTTCGTGGTGAGAAACGGGTAACGATTTACGATATCTGCCCCTCCCCAGTGCTTGTGTCTAGCATAGAGGTCAGGAACTTATGGCTCGCGAGCCAGAGGTAGCTCTTTTGATTATTTGATCTGGCCCTCTCAGATAAAATTGGAATTATAAACTTCACATTTTGTGATTTTGGTTCATCCAGTGAGTAAATCCAGAGGCTTATTATTATCACATTTAATTGATTTCAACCTTAAAATGTATTACATGACTGTCACTGAGATATATTTGCTTTCTTGGCTGTCTGAGTCAAAAAGATTCCCGACCTTTGGTCTGGCACCTCACGGTTTTGATCTTACACCCAGCAAAACCACTCTGGCTTTCTGTTGCTTGTCCCTTTAATGCAGTCTGGACTTACTAACGTGACGCTCCGCCTCTGCGTTGCCAACCAACCAACCACCTTTCTTTATACATTGTCTGCTTTCCAGAGTGTGCATGCGATTGGGCAATTGGTACTCCGAGCTCTATCTGCGCACACCCACTGAGGTGGTTACTCTGCCCGGCAGTAAATCCACTGGCGCCCACCTTGCCTCACCTTCACTCAGCCAACCCTATTCGGGTGTGGGGGATGTCCAACAGACCAGTCTTCTGGTAAGCTCAATTATTTCTGCGAATTCTTCGTCTCAAATCGCTCTGCGCACCTTACGCAATTTTAAGTCCTATTATTCCTGTCAGGCTTCATGTTTTTTGGTAGGACTGTTTTTAGACGTCCTATTTGCCTTTGACTTATAACCGCACTGTCCATTTTTTCGGTAAATTCCGCCGATATAAGGTCAATTTCCCTTTTTTTGTTGAACTTCACCGATATAAGGTGGCATTTTCATTAATAGGCACCAGTTGTCTGAGCAACAGGAGTTTATGTTGCTGGAGTTGATTCTATTTAGCACATTGAAACAAATATGAGTGGATTTGATTTAATATTTTTTTATCACTTCCAACACAATTAAATATTGAGTTACACTCGTTAACGAATAATTATATTTTTAGCCAAAATTTACATAAGACAGTTCGGTGGGGTGAATGGATATTTAGGCGGCCCTACAAAACAGTTTTCCGTTTTTTAAACATGTTGAGCAACAGGGACGTTGCCGGCTACCGCTACGTTTACCCCTGCGGACTTTTATTACTTAGGCCCTTAATATCGTTACTATTACGAATACCGTGGGTCTACAAATGTAACCCCCGCGAATTTCGTATTACTGTGTTACTACTACAGATGCTTCTACTATTACCGATACCATTACTGCTGCTCTTACTACCTCCGCTACTCGCGCGGTCACTTCTAGTACGGTGTTTTTTACTGTTGCCATTGCTTTAGCTACTATTATTGTTAATATTACTACTAACAGTTCAACCGTCACATTCGATGATGTCCACCGTGTACTTCACAGTCTGGTGGTGTATGGACGGTGACTTACGTGTGGAATATTTTTAATTGATAATAGAGTTTCGTTGCATCTACCGCAATCTCCGGTCACCCGCCTGTACTCAGTGTCAAGACAGGGTCACGGAGACTGGAGGCTGGATCGGGCGCATATGGATGGCGCAGTCGGAGCCGGCCACGCTGACTCAGATCATGACCACGGGTAGCTGGTGCCTGAGTCTGCACCCATGCATGCCACCACCGCCCAATGAAAGTACCAGCAAAAATCCTAGTTCACACAGCCTAGGCCTCTTGTCACACACCGTATCATACTCCAACTGGTCGCAGTCTACACTTTAAAAAAGGGGCTTACTGGATCTAGGAACATCATCCTTGTTGCTTCTGTCTGATTGGGATCAAGCATCTGTCAGAGATCAAACCTGATCCCTGCTATTTTCCAGATATTTCTGTGTTACAACTAACATTA